TAGCCAGCACCTATGAAGATCAACTCAGCACAAGCACCACACCAGGCTGAGTCTACCTAGGGGAGTCCCAGAGAGAGGGGGGCACGAACCAGCAGGTGATGTTAGCGAGCACCTGTGAAGACCATCACGGCACACGAGCGGGATGGGTGACGTTGAGTCACTCGTTTAAGTCTGAGTCGACCTAGGGGAGGAGGCCCAGTGGACTGCTTCAGATATTCGCCACTCTCGTTGGCAGTGAGCCGGGGTCAGAATTCGCAGCGCCTGGTGATGCTGCTACTGCTATGATATTGTATAATAGCACAAGCACAATATTAATAATAATAAAAACCCACCCTCGTCAAGATCATTGTGGCTTTAAAAGAAAGAAAATTAACAATCGGTGACGTTTCGAGCAACTGGTCCTTCTTCCTAGCGCAAGTGCAGTGCATCGTCCGTACGGCTGTCACATGCAAAGACCGCCTGTACAGATACACGTTGAGTTGTGTTTAGCGACACAATGAAGGCTGCTGGCACGACACACGTTGTGTGGGGGGAGGTGGCTACACCCGGCCGCCTTTGTCTCCCCAGTGACGACGTCGCAACACCCAAAGCCACGCGGTGTGCCCAGAGGAGATGACGAATCATCATCTCACGGGGCAAGTCTGAATCCGCCCAGATTCGTTGCTGCTACGGGCAGCCAGAGAGTAACACAATACGCCACACCAGCCCGCGTGTATGAGTGTAGAAATATAATTATAAATCAATGAAAGCCCCCTCCACTGCACGTCACTTTGGTTGTGTCACCGTGCTGATGAGACCACGGTGACACAGTGCGAGGAGAGAGTGGAGTGGGTTCACAACCCGTTCAGATCATCACTCGCCACCCATGCGAGCCACGCTGGGGATATCAATCTCGTAATCAGCTGTCGAGAAGAAGGTACATCGGCACAATCACCCGTCTCTTTGTTGTTCGACGTTTCGTGGTTGACCAGCTGGTGGAAGGCACTCATCTTGTTCCATTGCAGCACTCGGCGCGTGGATAGGGAGAGAGATCGATATGTATCGGCGTATCGTGCCGAACCACCCGTGGATTTGACAGGAATATAACATCACTCTGCTGTATGTATACAGTGTAGAATATATACTTCCTATCGTATAAAACAGCGATACATTAGTACGTTTGTATAATTGCATCTCTGCCTTTTGCCTTTCGTCTGTGTGTATTATATACTATATGCAGCATCATGCTAAGAACACACAGTGTATATTATATACTGTATGCAGCATCATGCTAAGAACACACAGACAGTGTGTATTATATACTGTATGCAGCATCATGCTAAGAACACAGACAGCGGTGTATTATATACTGTATGCAGCATCATGCTAAGATCACACACAGTGTGTATTATATACTGTATGCAGCATCATGCTAAGACCACACAGACAGTGTGTATTATATACTGTATACAGCATCATGCTAAGAACACACAGACAGTGTGTATTATATACTGTATGCAGCATCATGCTAAAATCACACAGACAGTGTGTATTATATACTGTATGCAGCATCATGTTAAGATCACAGACAGTGTGTATTATATACTGTATGCAGCATCATGCTAAGACCACACAGACAGTATATACTGTATGCAGCATCATGCTAAGATCACACAGACAGTGTGTATTATATACTGTATGCAGCATCATGCTAAGATCACACAGACAGTGTGTATTATATACTGTATGCAGAATCATGTTAAGATCTCAGACAGTGTTTATTATATACTGTATGTAGCATCATGCTAAGATCACACAGTGTATTATATACTGTATGCAGCATCATGCTAAGATCATACAGAGGGTGTATTATATACTGTATGCAGCATCATGCTAAGATCACACAGGCAGTGCGTATTATATACTGTATGCAGCATCATGCTAAGATCACACAGACAGTGTGTATTATATACTGTATGCAGCATCATGCTAAGATCACACAGACAGTGTGTATTATATACTGTATGCAGCATCATGCTAAGATCACATATAGAGTGTGTATTATATACTGTATGTAGCATCATGCTAAGATCACACAGTGTGTATTATATACTGTATGCAGCATCATGCTAAGATCACAGACAGTGTGTATTATATACTGTATGCAGTATTGTCATGCTAAGAACACACAGTGTGTATTATATACTGTATGCAGCATCATGCTAAGATCACATAGACAGTGTGTATTATATACTGTATGCAGCATCATGCTAAGAACACACAGACAGTGTGTATTATATACTGTATGCAGCATCATGCTAAGATCACACAGTGTGTATTATATACTGTATGCAGCATCATGCTAAGATCATACAGACTGTATTATATACTGTATGCAGCATCATGCTAAGATCACACATAGAGTGTGTATTATATACTGTATGTAGCATCATGCTAAGATCACACAGTGTGTATTATATACTGTATGTAGCATCATGCTAAGATCACACAGTGTGTATTATATACTGTATGCAGCATCATGCTAAGATCACACATACAGTGTGTATTATATACTGTATGCAGTATTGTCATGCTAAGAACACACAGTGTGTATTATATACTGTATGCAGCATCATGCTAAGATCACATAGACACTATGTATTATATACTGTATGTAGCATCATGTTAAGAACACACAGACAGTATGTAGTATATACTGTATGCAGTATTGTCATGCTAAGAACATAGTTATTTTTTGTTATTTTAAAACGAATAAGTTATTAAACCAGTAGCTTGTATGATGCTAAAAACGCAGACTTTGATATGGGAGTAATATTGTAAACTATAGCGCATTGATTGGTGATACTTTGAAATCATAATTTAAGAGCGTTCAATCTTATAATCTTTTACTGTAGATATGTAATGTTACTATTTATTAATACCTATATATTTATAACAATGCAGACTGAGATCACAAGCCTGTGACGCATTTAGACGTGCATATTATAGACAATATGTACTTAATTAGACTGCTAATTACAACATCGAGTATAACAATTCACGAATTTAAAGTGGATAACAGTACAATGCTGACTAGTTTTTAATGTATGTGTGGTCTTCATCACCATAACAGACATTATATTTTATATATTTTATATACTTTAGTGCGTTGACAATGTCTTCATATATGCCACTTGATGTCGCGAGTAAGTTTTGTTCTCGCTGTTTTAAAACGACATACTTGTTGTATAAACAGCGATACATTTATATTATTGTATCTGCCTTTTGCATTTCGTTATCAGGTCAATTGTCTAAACATTGCTAAACATGTAGAATCGTGTAGTTTTTATTCGCTATAATTAATTACAACCGTGAATCTACTTGGCACAACGATCTCGTGCCCTGTCACGTTTTAATCGATTTATTTTATTTCGGCTTACGGTCTGTATACTATATAATCGTTATTTTGTTTTGTAATACTTTTACCTGGCCTCAACCTCTTGCATCTCACACTACGTGATGTTTAACCACCAATCAGCAGTAATTTATATACATTCTACAATACAACACTACGATTACCACTACTACTTAAACACAGGACGAATACATTATTTTGTGATGACATATGGGAGGGTAGTTGCTGCGCTACGAACCCGGCGACCCGAGTTCGATTATTTGAACCGGTCCTGGGCCTCCCCTAGGTCGACTCAGCCTCAAACGAGTAATTGGTGTGGTGTGTGAACATCGCCACTGGGGAGACAAAGGCGGCCGGGCGTGGTGAGTATAGTAATACAGCTAGTAATATATAATACACAACAAAATAATTACCCACCCTTATACTCGCCTTCTCTGTTCTCTTATATTTATTTACGCTCACATCACTTCTTTGAATATGTTATTGTGCGTGTGCTTTTCAAAAACTAAAAGAAAATACGTTAAATCTAATTATCAATCAATGCATCTATTTAAGTGAGTAGACATATTTTTACGTCTGTCACACCACATTGTGTTGTTGTAAATTATATCGTTTTGTTTCGAAACTTTTCTTAAAGAGAGGGACGGACCTTGCCAATAAACATCCGGCACTTCACCAACAGTGATTCAAGGAAAGCTCACTGCTGATGAGGCACTGTGTGTGTCAAAAACGGTGCAGAGTTTGCTTGTATGGAACCAATTTTGCTGAAATGATACACTCCAGGCAGGTCTTGTGATTGACAGGAAGTATAGAACGCACATTATGTGGAGAGACAGACTTACGAAGGATGCGTAATTGTATTTAGTGTATATATATACTTATATTCTATAACGCGAAACCAGATGTAGCCTCTAACAGGCTGTTGGGGAAAGTGCCTTGAGCGCCTACCAAGGTGGCTGTCACCCACCCCAAGTGTAGCAACATAGTGCTGACTGTTGTACGGCAGCTGTAGGTGTGTGTGCTGGCAGGGGGAGGAACTGGGGCCAGGGTCTCGATAGACCTCGTGGAGAATCCTCGAAACCCTCTGGTGGGTTCGAGAAGAGAGGCGTGGCCAGGGCAGAGCCGAGACGCGCCGAGGGGAATATGAGCAACAGGCTGCCGGTTCTGGGAGTGGACTCGTCTCGTCTTCGTCGCTGCTACTGCTTCACCCGGACACTAGTTGGCTGTCTGGGTCGACGCCGTCGGTGCAACGCGGGCAGGGTCGTGTCTAGGCCGGGCTGTACGGTAGCGTGGTCGTGGGAGAGGGGGCCTGGAGCTGGTGGCGTGAACACGACCACCTCGTCTCCGACTGAGTGTGTGTGCGTAACGCACGCCACCCGCGCACACACATACAAGCCTCGAGCAGAAGGAAATAGACCTACGGCACTATATAATTACTCTTCAGCGTCCGAGGTCTGATAACATCGGGATCACAGCACATTCCGGGTGACTTTGTCATATGTTTGAAATTCATTAATCATGGTTCAGTTTTTCGCCCTAATCCTCAAATCCCTGGGTTGGGGTTGCTGTTCTATATATTTCAGGAACGTAGACCCGGACATCTGCAGCTAAAATTAAGCACTGGTCACAGGCCGAAGACTGTATAACCCCAAAATCACAGGTATCATCATCATCTTCGTCAGCATCGTTGTTGCCGCCGCCGCTGCTGCTTCTTCTGATGGAGCCCATTGAAGAACTCAGCAAGGCTGCGGCGCTGGGTAGAACGGTAGAAGTGGAGCTACTTCTGGCGCGGGGAGTGAATCCTAATGGCACCAACAGCTGCGGCAGAACGCCCATCCAGGTGTGTGTCACGCACGACGAGTCCCCATCAACAGAGGTGCACGCACACAGCTAAAATATTTCGGAGGGTTACACCACAAAGCCACTGTTTTAAAATGAGAATCATCCTCGACTCGTTGAGCCCCTCGCCTGTTTAAAAGAACAGACACTTCACCGTTATTACCATCAATAATGAATGGGAAAATAAATCCATTACATTGGCATGCATTTTAAATCCATTCACATGCATGGATTGTGTGGCTTTCTAACGTGCGTTTGTCCTTGGAAATATCTCATTTGCAGGTAATGGTGTTACGTTCCAATCCACACGAGCTCACGCTACATGTAATTATGTCACGGTGAGAATGCATGACAAGGATGATTCATTTAGATGCTAAGTGAAAACTTGCAGTTGCTCTCGGATTGGATTGAGGCCCAGTGGAGAGATCCGAGGATTTGGATGAGTTTGCTTTGTGGTTGACCAATACAATGTGGGCCAGTCCCTCACCCAGCAGTGAATTGACAAAGAGCCGTATCTTACATTAAAAAAATCTTTACATTTCCTGCAATACAATTTTTAAACCATTTCAGCGGTACATGTACCCTCAACGCCCCATAGGCACAATACCCGACCACATTGGAACAATAGGGAATGGTTGTTCACAAGAGTTGCTGCAAATTAATAAAATACATTTACAATGTACCCGTGTCACGCCATGGCCAATATCGCTCACAGTTACAACCATTGCACAATACGTGTTGGGTTTCGCGCAAATGTGAAATCGTTCTAATTGACATCAGATGGGAACTGGACTGAGGCCCTCTGCTCGTTGTGGCTCCTGTGCGCACTCTGATAAAGCCTCACGAAATACTCGTGAACTTAATGTATGTTGCACTTCTTTCGCACCGTGCATAGCCTTCCATGCGAATCAGATGTGTATTTAACATGAAATGCATGTCAAGAATTGCAACATAATTACGTCATTACAATTTCACGTTCATGAAAACATCTCACAGATTGTGTTTGTCGTATAACGGCCGTCTAAAATATCGGGGGGTGGTAGGGGGGCAGTGATGGAGCGGCGATGGGGAAATTTTACCATAATTCACGCTGGTGAGGGAGGGCTTGGTGAAGGAGGGAACGAGGCCAGGAACCGGTTCAAATAACCACTCACCAGGTGATGTTGTTAGCCGTGGTTGGTAATCGAACTCGGTAACATCGCCGGGGTTCACAATGTACGGTAAGCCAACCAGAAATACCACCACTCCCCCCTCTATCCAAACAAAACTGTGAATGTTTCCCGTGTGATGTCTCCTTTAAAGTCTCTTGCGTATGGCAGCAATAGCTACGACGAGAAGTCTTCATGAGAGTTCGTGTAATTTTGCTATGCCTCCTCAGTTGCAGGTGCGTAGACTACAATGGGTTACAAGACGCTCAGTTGCAATGATGCTGATGCTCAGCCAGTTTGATTCAATGCTGTCAGCCCGGTCACCAATGACTTTCCCATACGCTTCACGCGATGGGCGCAAGTTCGTATCATGCTCGACTTGCCGCTGACTGATGCGTGCTGCGTTGTGAAGTTGGAAATGCCAGGTAACGTTGCTGCTATTCAAGGCAGGGTTAATTAAATTTTAATTAACGACGTTACCAGTTACAAATAATTACAATCCAAATGTCTCGTACAGCAAACCTGGCCAAACGCGGTTTTATCGAATGCGTGTTTCGGCTGTACAGCTTCATGAGGTCTGTTTTCTGTAACACAAGTCATGTTTCATCTCTACGCGGTTTGATGTTGCTAAGTTTGTTGCTAACATAGTTAGGATAGGCTTGCGAGAGGTGGGAGTGCTGCATCCGTTGGAGGGTTTATTTACCGTGTGTGTCTTTTTTTCGTGATGTCACACGGACCTGACACGCACAACGCCCATGTTCACACACATTACCGCATGAATCTAGACGTCCACTCTTTGAAGACGTCATTCATACGGACGCCTATATGGAAGAAGGATTAACGTTCAAGTGACAGTGTTAGGGGCGAGTGTCGGGCTGGAAATTCAGTGTCAGGGGAGAGCGATGGGCGTGAGCGGTGCAGGAAGAGGAATGGAGACAGTGTTTTTTTTGTTGGGGTGAAATTGAAAAATAAGAGTTACACCCACACAAGAAATGGAGAGCGACTCAGCATTCATTGTTACAATGACAAGTTGGGTAATCGTGTAGAATTAGTTAAACAAAGAGGGAGGGAGTAATAATTTCGGACCCAGGAATGAAAGTCTATTTTTACCATAAGGTATATTATTTGTCGAACGCGGTTTTGCCCAACACAGAATTTCCAGGAACGTAACTCCAGCGTTCAGCGAGCTTTGCCTGGTATCCTTTTCCTGTATTTATAATCGTAAATGACAAAAAAATTTTTCTTTGTATTTTGTCGACTTGTCACGTATAGGGAATATGTGTAGTACGTTTTAAAAGGGTACTGTGTAAGAGACATTTTCACTCGTGGGAGTGAATTGTGTTCAAATAACACCCCAATAACCCGCACAACGCACAGAGACACTCATTCAGCAGTGGTTTGACCAAGTTTGCTGTGCATGTACCTTATATAAAATGTGTTCACGTAATCGGAATGTCCGTGATATTTCGAAGAGTAAAACTGTACTTTGTAAGATTTTGTAGTAACGTATTAATTTATTTAAAGTTTAAGTTTAAATAAGTGTTTTGATTAACGTAAAATGTTACAATAACAGTTACAATTAGCACACCCACCCCCTCGTGTGCCGTGCCAGTCTTCATCGGTGCTCGCTAAACAGCACTTGCCGCAACAGTATGTTAACGGGGGATTTTTGTATACCTCGTACACATGGTCCATAATAGAGGGTTTTTTGGAGTTAGATCGCGTAAATATATAAATGTGTCGTTAAAACCCGCCACCACCCGACACAGCCAACTAGTAAGGATTGTCACGTAAACAGAACGTGGCCAATTCGTCACTAGTACAGCACACCGGTTGTGTGTTGGAGAGCCAAGCCACAACATTTACAATCCGAGTACGACGTTTCGCCAGTAATTACAACTAGCTTCATCAGGCGACAGCCAGATTTGTGGAGAAGTCCACCTGTTTCGTTCCTTATATAGAGGCGTAGATGTGGTGACCACACTTGTGTATTCTTGGGCAAAGTCGGGGGGGGGGGGTTAATGATATATGCGTATACAGTATGTAGGACTTCCCAACTCTAGAGCTTATGTCCAGTTCGGTCGCTGCACATTTAATTGTATTAAAGATCGTGTGCTCGTAGACCCCGGGTGTCGGCATACAACGGTGGATGTAGCCACGGTGGCCAGATGCTAACTACCTCGCCTGGTATACAGGAGGTCGTGGCTTTGATCCCGACCCTCACTCCTGTTTATTTGGAGTTTTGATGTCTCGCTCTCTTCTATGAGCTCCCGTGGATTTTTCTTCGAGGTCCTTCTGTTTTTCTCTCCACATTTAGAAACATGAATTTAGAGCGTTTGGCTGCTACAAATGTCCACACAATGAGCCACTTCGTTGAGCTATTCTATGTGGCCAGATCGCTTCAGAAAAAGAGCTACGTAGCTCAGTGGGCCTTACCTGGTAAAATAAAACATCATCATGTTATATCTGAGCCAGACTGCTCATGATGTATGCGCTTATTGTCCGTTCGTCTCTCCAAACTGGTTTCTATATTTATCCATTCTTTATGCGATCTCGATGACCCAATGTTATTAGCAGCATTAAACAGTATTACCGCATTTAACGCATTCAATATTATAACAATAACTCACAATCATGATCGATCTGAATAAAATACACATCAAATATACTAAAGCGATATGTACTGTACTGTGCTTGACTCATTAACTATACAGTACAATTTAATACAAGTCATTGTTAACACTATAATCATCAACAGCGATGCTCCATCCACTGCTGGACTAAGGCCTCCACGAGCTTCCACCACACCACCGATTAGCACGGTTGGCTACGTACGGTGCGAAAGAAGTTCAACATACACATCTCATGATCCATCTTTAGAGGAGTTATTTTGTGTTTAATTTGTCGTCCTTCCGACGCACCTCCGACTAGCACGGTTGGCTACGTACGGTGCGAAAGAAGTTCTACATACATCCTGCCATGTGATCATCCACCCAGTACTTGCACGTAAACTGATTTCGTCGCTCCACCTTGGGTGGACGTAACTCGTTGCTTGCAATCCTTGGCTGCCACTCTGTTATTCTTGGCCATCGGGCATCGACTGGTAGCGACGCGTCCTGCCCAAGCCCACCGTTGTATCTGTAAATATAACATTAATCATTAATTTTTGTGGTGAGATTGGCTCTCGCAATAGGAATCTGGGTGGCCACAACGTAGCGATGCTACGATGTATCGTATGATGTAATATCCACAATACTCGTATCATCATTATTTTTTCAACACATCGGCTTTCATGACCAATAAGATTCGTAGTTTATGTTTTTGGTCAGATTGCTAAAGTGCAATTTGTGTGATCAACCTTTCTCTACCTGACACAGCCAATGTATAAAGTAGTCACACAACATTCAACAATTGGGTAATCCGACGTTTCGTATGTATGTAAATTGATCTTCTTTTGCACCCTATGTGGCCAGCCGTGCTAATCTGAGGTGCGGGGAATGGACAACAAATTAGTTTTCAAGAGTTACAGTCAGGATCATCAGGCAGTTGCCACAATTGTTAAAATTTCGGGAGCAGGACGTGATACCTAGAGGTTAATTTACATAAGTTATGTTAGCTAACAATACATTATGTTAGAGATGGTAATATCAATGTAAATAGACTATATTTGTGATGAAAAAGTAAATTATTTTATGTGAGATATGGTAATATGATGTACACATTCACGTGGTGATACTTGTAATGCATAGTTAATTAGTTATACTATATGGGTAGTAATGTTACAAAAATGCTGTATTAGTTTCAATTAAAGTCAATATACTTTTGGGGAACGCATACTCGGACACTCAAACTC